TTGCGACCTTTATCGTGGCAGCAGTATGCAGTCCCGCTGTTCTTATAGCCATTGGGCCAGGTGCCGCTGCCATAAGTCTATTAATGGCGACTCTCCTGACGTGTGTCGTCATGCTCTCGCTGGCCGAGTCAATCTCCGACCTACTCTATCATGTAAGTCACAATTCACCATTTCATCCCCCCTTCCTAACCTCAAATTGACACCTTTTACAGTTCTCGTCCATACTAGCAGACTCGCGGACGACTCCATCATACGAAGACCCCGTTCAACAAACGTTCGCTAAGCGACGATGGGCCATATGGAACAAACTCATATCCCCAGTGTCGTGGGCGCCCGTGTTCCGGGTCATGCTGTTCTGGTACGGCATCGACGGCGCTCTGCAGCTCGCGGCGAGGACCAAGCCGCCAATATCCTCAGTCCACATCCCGCCAATCGCAACGGGCAACTTCGCGGTGCAGTTGTTCATCTTGGCATTTATCCCATGTGTGGCGACGATTGCCGTCTACCTGTCGATGGGCAGGGTTCTGGACCAACTCTCGACTCCACAGGCAAAGGGGCGAGCGACAATGTTGCTGGCCTTCTTGGTCCTGTTCTTGACCGGCCTGGTGTTGGACGGTGTTCGATGCTCGGGACTCGTGGATGCCCACGACATCATCTCTGAATACGAAAGCGACTTTTCGATGGGAGGTCTTGGGCTTGGAACCTCGCCGCCCACGCTCCGTCTCGGGAACTGCTCCATCCCCGCTGCCGAGGGATCTATAATCGATTCGTGGGGGGCACCCGTCTACACGTTTCCAAGTCTTGGGACCGAGCCGGACGACCGTACAACGGGCGCCAAATTTATCGGGCCATATGTCTGCGTGACGCCCTCAACAGAACGAGACACCACGCTCATGTCGCCGGCCATTTGCTCACCAGACCACCTCCAGCAAGAAAACATGACATTGGCCCAGTGCTGGTCCCGACGAGGTGGTCTTTTGGCGTCAGACACCAGGCTCGACAACATACGAGTCTTTCTGGACAGTCCCTCCTGGCCGCCCTACCCGCCCTCCCCACCATTCCCAACTCCACCAACACCACAAGTCCTAGACCTCCCGGCCAACGTCATAACCGAACCGCACCCCAACCAAACCACAGCCCATCTCGGCCTCGGCCACGACTCCCCCCTCATAGAATCCCTCTACTCCTCAGGCCACATCGGTTCACGCACATGGGGTTTCGACGCCGGCAGTCGGAGCATAGCCGTCAACCGCGGGGGTTCTCTCGTCATCGGCGGCTGGAATGCCCGCTCCCCGACCACACGCTTCACCTCCTTCCCACTCAACCCAAACCCCGTCCCCCACCCGAGTCCCAACGCAACCTCCAACTCCCCCTGCCTTCTCCAAACCACCATATCCTCACTCCTCCTCCGCCCAGGCGACGGCTCCCCACCTCTCCAGCTCCTCCCGCCGAACCTCGAAATCCTAACAGCGTGCATCGAACCGTCAACTTACCTCCTACACTTCCCCCCTACCCATCTCCAAGAATTCCAACGGCAAATCGAATCCCACCCCTGGCCGTGGCCTCTCACCCCAGCCAGCACCACCACCAGCACCACCACAACCACCAGCACAATCCCCCCGACCCTACACCGGCTCTTCACCGGCCTGCTCTACGCCCACAACCCCTCCCTCCGCACCGGTCTCTTCAACGCCTCGCTCTCCATAACCCTCGCCCCAGACTTCACCGTGACCATCCCCGCCGACGAACTCACCCAACCCGTTTCCGCTCTCGCGCCCGACGGATCCGCCACGACACTCACAGAAAACTTCACGGAACTCGCCCTTGCGCCATCCACATCAGACACAGACTTCGCAGTCCTAGGCGCCGTCTTCCTAAGCCAGGTCTACCTCTTCGTGGACCACGACCAGGGTACGTTCTCCCTCGCGCTGGCGAACCAAACTGCCGGGATGCCGATCGTGCCGGTCATGTGGCCTGGTCCGGTGCGCATGGGTTTGTCGTCGTGGGCTGTACTGGCGGCTACGCTAGTCATGCCCTGGGCTGTTGTCGTTTGGTATGTGGTTTGGGTTCTGCTGGGGGCGCCGACGCGTCGGACCGGGTGGTTGGGGAGGCGGTATTATGAGGGCGTGGGCCGGGGGTCGTTGGAGAAGATGGACACCACTACGGCGGAGTTGCGTGGTGAGGGCGGGAGTCGTGGGCGGGTGACCGCGAGGTGGAGGTCGAGTTTTGCGTGGGTGCGATGAACGGATATGGAGAAATCCCACCTTCGATCACAATTAGGTCAAATGTGCCGGTTATGAAAAAGAAAAAAAGACAAAAACAAAAGGAGAAAAAAAGAAAAAGAAAGACAAGAAAGAAGAAAAGAAAAGGAAAAGAAGAACAAACAAGATAAAAGAAAGAGGGGCGGTGTGGTCTTTGGCTGTTATTAGTGGTGGATTGGAATACCACGGCCGACTTGAGGCCCGTTTGTTTCCTTTATATTGTGTTTCTCTCGTATTAGATATGGTTTTGGATTTATGGATCTTATGACAGTTAATGAAACTGAAGGCAAAGGATGTGCATTTTGCCACCTCAACTATGGCACACGGTCGCAACTCCCACCCCGATGCCTACATTATAAACGCCATCGTCAAACAATCGGCCGACTGTGCTGACTGATAAAGCGATATTAGTTGTCCCCATGTCTTTGAGCTTTTCTTCTCTGTTCTGTCCATTCTTTCCCCACGACATATATCGTCCCTACGCCGACGACTAGTCCTTCTGGTTTGCAGGGAACATACCAGATTATAATTATATGTCGTTTTATTGTGATGCACGTTAATTAATTACTGTCGGCTCGTTACCACGGAATCCAGGTCATCACCTACATAGGTGCCTGGTGTCTACAGCACGGTGAAAGGTCATGTCGTTTCCACAGATGAATCACCTTCACTACGTGAAAGTCAACAATAAGTCAACCACGGCGACGAACCCGCCAGCAACAAAAGTCCCAGTGTCCGGTTGCTTACTGATGTCAACTGAAGGATCAATGAGAAGCAATATACCACGTACATACACCAATCAAGCTCACCGCGGATAAATCAGTTTGTAACGGCGAACTGGTTTAACCGGCTTTCCTAATTCTAGTCTTACTCCTCATAGCACCTGCATCAGCAGAAGTTGGAAATACAGCTGCCTGGAACAAGCGAAGTAAGCACAGGTTGAAGGTTCTATTACATACCTACCTGGGTAGGGAGTCTAAATCTCCTCGAACAACATGAAGAGCGCAGTCAACCCGACATTGGATTGTGAAAAAGTTCTGTTTAGACGTTGTCGGTTATGCTTGTTGCTTATAAAGCCGCTTGCTAAACGGTCGATACCGGTCAGCCTTCCTCTTGCAATGTTAATATATTGCATTGCAACACTAACAACGAGGTTCTTTGCATCCATTCTTTCCGAGCTGCTTGGCGGTAGGCTACGAATTCCGAGACCTCCAGCGGTTAACAGCGACTTGTATAGTTCTCAACCAAGTCACTCAGTACCTTTCTCGCCGGGGCAGCGTTGGTAACGGTATAAATACCTCGTCAACATGTCGTCTAGAACATCTTCCATCCCTCATCAACCCAGCTGCAAACATCGCCTCTAGCCATCAACGCATTCCCCCTCAACGAGCCCCGTCAACTCACTCAATCCAAGATGTTCTTCTCCCGAGCAGTCGTAGCCCTGTCCTTTGCCTTCGGTGCCATCGCCATTCCAGCCTCCATTCCCCTCGCGGCCGATGGCGAGATGGAAGTCGTGAAGCGCGCAACGGAGGGCATCCACCTCGTCAACTGCGTCGGGCCCGAGAGATACTCCATCATCATCGTACGCCTAACCTTTGGACCGAAGATAGCTGCCAAAAGGTGCACCATACTAACCGACGCCATGACAGTACTGCCCAAATGACGGCGACTGCAACCACCTCGCCTCAACCGATAACCAGTGCTTCTCAAACGCCGGCGGTTTAACAACATGGGAGACCTCAGGCGGATGTGCATTCACCAGTGGAACCGTGTTCTCTTACACCATCCAGGCCAACGCCCAGAGCCGGCCGAATTACTCTCAGGTTGGGTACGTCCCCTGTATTATCCCGCCCATTTGTATGTCAGGCACTAACGGATGCCCGTACCAGAACGGGGCGCAACCCCTACCACGACTACAAGATTTACAAGGACGACCAGCATGTCATGTACACCGAGGGTAGCGGTAACGTTTGCCGCAGCATTTACTACGCTCTGCCGGTACGAAGTCTTTTTCACTTCACAGTCGTTGGGTTGGGATCGGGCTAACCAAACAACAGAACTAAGCTGCAATCACCAAGCGGAAGATTTTTAGATAGCACCTCGCGTTTGACCAGGCGGTATCCGTCGTGCAAATTTTCTGTGAGGTTGAGTGGCTGCGCAGGTAGTACACGAGGTCGCAATCAAAGAAGCGCATTGTTAGCTGGTGTCAATGCCAACATGGGGAGACTTATGTTCTGGCAAATTTTTGTTTCGTTCACTTGGGATATGACTGCCAGTGCGGAATGTTCATTGACAAGTCACATATCCCAAGCGGGTGCGGATAGTATTTTTTGACCGATCCTTGTTGAGTCGGTTTAATTATAGTTGCTAGTTGCCTTCAAGTTACTTGTTATTTGACCACTAGATGCAACTAGAGTGTATGTCCCTTTCAATTGCCATTTCGGCATCAAAGAAAGTGGACTGAATCAAGCAATCAAGAAAAATAACTTACACTGAGCTACAGTAACAAAAACGAACTGGCTTTGATAGAACTCAGAAGCAAAACCCGTGGCTAATAAATGCTTGTGGAACTCAACAATTCCAGTGACAATTGAAACAAAGTTCCAGCTACGCCCGTACAGTGGACCCCGGTCCTAGCCGAGGAACTCCATCCACCGCAGCGGCACGGCCCACTCCGCACGGGTGCTAGCATGACCCGTAGGTAAGCACTAATCCGCGCCCAACCGTTCATCCAATAAAGGCTCCGTGGTCTAGTGGTATGATTCGTGCTTCGGGTGACATCTTTCTCCAGATTAACCATTACCTGTCCCAACGGGTAACAGAGCATGTGCGAGGTCTCGGGTTCGAATCCCGACGGAGCCCTTTACTTTTACCTCCCTGCCTTTCTCAACTCCTCACGATACACAAGAAGGTACATTTCTTTTTGGTAGTTGCTGCTACAGTAGATCTCCGTCGTTTACTTCCCAAGGATATGCAGAATGAGATTGTGGCCAACCCTTCACAACTCGCCATGCACGCGCGCAAACATGGCATCCACCCCCCTCCGCTCCCTTCTTCCCTCCGACTCCCACCGCGGCACACCCTGCAACGCACCCCTAATGGTCCTAAACGCGCCCGCCACCCGCTCCTCCTCCGCCGCGATCATCGCAGCCGACCCAGCCGGCCGCCAGGGCCTCTCGTCCGCCTCGCACACGTCCCACTCGCCATCGAGATACTTGTCCCCGTCGACCACGGGCGCCGGCGGCACCTTGCCGTACCAGACGTAATCGCGAATCACCTGCGCGGTGCAGCGCGACGCGGTCGAGGTCGTGCAGTGGCCTTGGGACTTTTGCTCGAGCAGCCCGGCGTGCTGGAACTTGAGCGCCATCTTCACGGCTGCGGCGAGTGGGGTTACGGGGTCGTATGTGTTGCTGAGGAAGAGCAGCGGGAAGGACGTCGATATTTGGTTGTTGCTGTTGTTCGAGCTGAGCTGAAAGGGGGACGCCCAGGGGCTGTTGGGCGAGTATGCAATGTCCCACCCGTTGCACTGCAGCATGATCTCCATCCAGACGTCGGCAAACTGAGAGATGCCAGACATGGCTTGCAGGTCCTTGCTAATATCAGCAAGCGTTTGGTTGTTCTGTAAGTTTATCGTTAGCACTAGCTTGCACTGGCAAGGGCTGCAGGCATCAACTCACCGGCTGCACCTTGTCCGCACACATAATAGCTCGCTGCGCGTCGTTGAGCGACAGGTCCATGGGACTTCCCGGAAGCAGACACTGCACCTGCAGGTCCTGGTACAGCAGGCCAAACTCGGTATACCGTCCCTCGTACAAGTGGTCCAGAAACCAGGCAAGCACGGGAAACAGCTGCATCGGCGAGTACAGTACCCCGAGAACCAGCCGCTTGATGAACCGCGCCTGGATGACGACGGGGTAAAAGTGCTCCGGGTGGATGAATGACACCGGGTTACTTTCGAGACTTGTGATCAAGCTGTGGTATCGACCCGCCAGATCCTTGGCCGTGTCGCCGTCGCGGTAGAACAGACATTGAGCCTCGGCATCTGCGCAGTATTCAAAGAACAAGCCCAGCACCTTGTCCGCGTCCAGCAGGCTTTCGCGCCAGGTGGGCGACGCGTAGTACTCCGCATCGACCACGCCGTCGAGGATCATCTGCCCCACTCGGTCGGGGAACATGGCTGCGAATGTCGCGCCCAGAAACGTGCCGTACGAGAAGCCCCAGTAGACGAGCTTGCCCTTGGTTGGGTTGTGCTCCATCCCTACAGCCGGCTGCTGGTTGTTGTCAACCCATCTATCCCACGCGTCGACGATACTGAGCATGTCCCTCGCGACATGCGCCGTCGATGCATGCCCGAGGATACTGCTCTCCGCCCCAAGCCGACTGTCACGTCCCCTGCACAGGTCGTTGACGGACCGGTGGCCGGCGACAAGGTACTGCAGCGCTCCACCGTTACTCGCGTTGATACTACCCACGGCCGAGTTCATATTCAGCCACTCGAGCCGGTGCATATACCCCTTGACGGGGTCCTCATCGCAGGTCTCGCAGGCCGGAGGCGACGCCCAGCAGTCGGCCGCGGGCGTGGTATACCCGATACCGCGCGGGTCAAAGCCGATGATGGGCTGGTCGTCGCCAAAGATGATCTGCATTGCCGGTGCCGAGAGCAGGGAGAGGTAGACGCCTGAACCGCCCGGGCCACCGGGGTTGAGCAGCATCGGCGACTTGGGCGGCTTGGAGGTGGAAGACGGCGCCTCAGCTGCGGGCAGGAGGAGGAGAGCAATGTCCACGCGGGCAGACGAATGGCGTTGGGCATGCGGGATGTCGTAGTCCATGGGGACGGTGAGACGCGCGCATTGGAATCGCGGGTTGATGGCCTCGTAGCATGGGTGCCATTCGAGGTCCTCACTGGGGGTTATCTGGGCATTGATGGTTAGCTGGATGGACAGGGTGGACGAGAAACGCCCGGGCCGGCGAGAACATACCGAGTCCCATGGGCTCTCTGGGTCAGAACTTGGAATAGGCTCTTGGTCTCGGTCAATGACAGGAGATGTAGCGAGCTGGGTGCGGATATGCCGAAAGCTGCCAAGCACGAGGATGCCAATCAGCGCAGCTGCAAGAAAGCGTCGCGACGTGGATGCTTTGCCCAAGGGGCGGCCGCGCATGTCAGCCTCCATGTCGGCGCTGCGTTGGGATGGCAAACTCCCCATTTCCGTCTTAATGGTGCGATCAAGTTTCTGCTCCATCGCCATTCTTTTCTCTCACTGCTTGCTGTCAAGGATGGCACCGGGCGACTGTGGGTCATGAATTTGTGTAGGAGGAAATTCTGGCCCGCACCCCGCATTCGACCTAGGCTTCCTGCCAGTTTGCGTGTCGCGTTGTCCAGCAGTGACAGGCACTCGGGCCGTGCGGAATGCGACGTGAGCGACGGCTTACGCAACCCGGCCTCGTTATCGGCCGGGAAGAGCACCCCTGTATCATTGAATTCAGTTGCAAAACTATATGTGATTTTCCTGATGAATTTTGACTGTCGCAGAAGAAGATTTAGGTCAAGGGTTTATTTACTTGCAGTTTTTGGGTGACCTAATCGATCATTCATGACCCTTGCGCCGGGGGTGGCTCTTTATTAACCCTGGGATCAACCAGGGTTCGGGAAGATCGAGGATGCAGAATTGACTGAAACAAAAGTCAACTTAAACAGAGTGTAGAATACCAATGGTTATATGGTCGAAACCTTGAAGAGACAGACGTAGCTGTGCTGAATTCTCAACGGAAGACTTCCGACTGAATTTTACTGTAACTTCAAGTTCCCATCAGCCATTATAATATTTCCCTGTACTGTCGTCATATTCCTCAGCAATGCAGAGGCACCTAGGAGCAATTTCAACAATTAAGATTCACGTTGCAAGAAACATGTCCATCTCGAATACTCCATCATCGAGAGCACAGCAAGCTCAACATGAATGAACCCCGCTGTCCATGCCAATTACTGCCCACATCCTCGGGGCAAGCGTTTGAGCTATAACGATAATTACCATCAGGTAAACATGAGGTGATATTTTCCCTTCTGCTATTTTGCTTGCCAGCGGACGCACGTCAGTGTTATTCTGGACTTTTTTTTCATTTTTTTTTTTTTTTCAGCCGCTCTGAGCCATTGAAGCCAGCAACCAAAACTCACGACGGGTTCTGCGAGGGGGTATGTCCAAAATACTCGAATAGAAGCCCCGTGCGGATTCAGGTTTACATTGGCTCGATATAATTATCTTTACCAGCATTTATCTCACGTTTGTTAATACGGGGAAAGCAACCCCCCCACAAAATGTTCGCATTCGGGTAGTTCAACGACATTACAAGGACGTCCTTGACCGCGTTAGACACGATTCGTATCCGTTGTTATATATTTGCAGAATAAGCACGGCCTGTTGTGGCGCTTGGGGCATGGGACAGGCCCAAGGATGGTCGCATTTCTCAAGACAACAGATGTCGATTGGATGCCATCGAAGTGCTATGCATAATACCGAAAAGAAATCCATCTCAACAACCTTTGCTCCATGCCACGCACGGGATTTGAACCTTGTTTGCCAGCCTTAGTGATCCTTAGAATGCCGCCCCACAAAAACGCTCGCATTCGTGAACAAGAGCAAGCTCTGATTGGGCGGTTCTCGAGTCTGACAGATTCACGATTCGCTGGGCCTGGGCCGCGTAACCACATCCCAAACCCAACCGTCCTCCAACGGGAACTGCCAGCACGCGTCCGGCGGAACACACGTGTAATCAGGGCTCTGGCGCGGGCTGTGTCAACTGAACCGTGCTGTGATTTGGTCGCCTAGGTCTGTGGCGCTCGGATCTCAGTTTGCACGCTCGCCCGGTTTAATGTGCTGACCATCTCAGCGACGTGCATTGAAGCCTGGAACCCAGTTGAGGTTCCCGAGGGGGTGGCTTCGGATTCCTTTAGCTGGCATTGGTGCGATCCCTCTTAATTGTGGGTCTCTGAATAACTCCATTCAATTACTCCGGAGACCTGTCCCTGTTGACAAAGGCAAGAAGGGGCCAAAGTACCGACTGGGGAGAAAAGAACTAGGGAGATGTACTGATGAATTGGCGATGGTTGATTATTTGGCGCTGCGGTTCAGTCGAGTTGATTCTCGTGAATGACAAGGTTAGCAAACTGATGGCCATCAAAAACGCGTCAATTGATGACTTCTGTTAACGAGATCACGTTGATCCACGAACTGGTTTACGTACCAGCCCGCCTCTCGGTTCCAACCCGAAATAAGAGTGGGTCGACGGAAAGCCGTTGAAATGGAGGCGTAAGTATATGCACTTGGAAGGCGGCGCAGCCATCATCAGGCGGTACATGTTTTGATGCATTTTCAACCAGGTCGATACATGCGACAGGATCGTGATTGGATCTACCAATTCCCGTGTCAGTCTCGATATAAAGACAGCCGTTTCTTCTAATTCTCCGTCAACTTCCTACCCATCGGTCCCTTTTTCCTCATCAACTCTCATACCGCCATAAACACCAAGCCCCCTTCGACGACCACCCATCCGAGTCCAACTACTTACAGCGGTATCAAACGCCTCTGACAACACAACACAATGTCCACAGGCGGGCCCCCGCTCAACGAGTTTGGGCTCCCCGACGGGTTGATCCCCTTCGGCGGCCTTTCCAACTGCACGCTCGCGTTGTGTCCCCTCGAGACCAGTGTCTTCCAGTACCAGCCATCGATTCCCGCACAGGCCATCATCATCGTCCTCTTTGCCCTCTCGATGCTCGTCCACATATGGCAGGGCTTCCGGTACAAGAGCTGGAGTTTCATGATCTGCATTGTCATCGGCTGCGTCGACGAGTGCATCGGTTACGG